TGCCCCAAATGTTCCTCAGCATTGTTTTTCTTCTTGCGTCGGCAATCAGTAATCTAAAAACCAAATCTTGGCCACATTTTCTTTTTTCTTTTTTTTTTTTTTTTTTGGTGGGGGGGGGGGGGGTTGATGAGCTTTCAAGTCAATAATTTGGTGGCCACGTCTGAGGTGCTCCCTCCTCATTATCTTTTTGTAAACATTGCCTAGAGCTATCACGAGTTTTAGACCAGTCAAGAGGGTTGTTGGCAGCCCTCCTTGGCGCTGGGCAGCTGATGGATGCAGCAGATTCGTTCCAGCTTAGGTCCGAGCGCCGCCGATGTTATGAGCGGAAGGGCCAATCAAACAGCGAAAGAGGCACAACGTCTTGGCGTCCTTTCTGCAGTTGATAGGACCAGCCGGTATTCGCAGTTTCTCTGTGCGTGCTCCTCTGCCGGCTAAATCTATAGACCATTCCATTTAGCGCTCTCTGGGTGGCACAATTTTGTTTGGCAGCAGCGCCCTCTTCATACATCCGGCAAATTCAGCAGGTTCGGCGGGGTAAAACGAGAGAGAGGGCACGCGCCCGACTCCGCTAGCAGACGACAAATTGGGAGGTTGCCATTAGGGAGTTTTCGTAGACCGCGCTGCCCCCTCCGCTAAGCATTCCGCAACGAAGAAGTTGCTACTGCGCCTGCGCGCCGATAGCCTTGCCTGTGGAGTTCCTGCTATCGTAGCGGGTTGCGGAGGGCCTTGCGGGACGGCGAAAACGATCTATGAAAACTCCCTATTCTCCATCTTTGGGCTGTACCGGCGGGCTGTACGGAACATCGAACTCTCGCTCGTGGCTGCCGTTGCGAAGTGGTTCGCGTTCTTATGGCTACTCCAAAATCAGCCTATAGCTCTCTGTTGTTCGATTTCGGTAAATGATCAACTGGTATCTTTTTTCCGTTACTTAAATAGCAGTTGAGTCAGCCGGCAGTACTGCCCTCAACTACTGCGTTTATTGCGGCACGAGAGCATGTTTCTATTTATTATTTCAGACTTCCACTCATGGTCACTAAAGGCCTACACCAGTACAAACTTTGTATAGTAAAAAAGGTACAGCAACCGGATTTACTTTTCGCCGGAGAGACCGGCGAATCTGACACAGTTTTCCCTATTCTTTTTTTTTTATTATTTGCACGCAGGTAACAGCACAATTGGACCATGTTAGTCTTTTTATCTAGCATAATATTACACGAGATCTGGCATACCAATATCTGCGCATCTGCGCTTGAAATTTCCAAAATGACTCAATTTTAAACAGAGTTTGTACGCCAGCCGGATGCTAGGTACAGCCCACTCGGCAGAGCAGGGGCAGATGACACGCGGGTGAGAGGGAGAGGGCATTTTTTTCTCTCCATTACCCTCTCTGCTATGACCCTAATGGAACGGGGTCTATAAAGCGCAGAGAGCGCACCATGACGCTGCGCTTATTGCGCTGTATGATTGGCCCTTCGGCTTATAATGTAGGCCGCGCTCGGACCTAAGCTGAAATAAGCTGAAACGAAGTATAGAAAGCACTTTGTCATCTGCTGATGTTTTGACCAGTATGGTTGTTTCTCTGTTATCGTCCGTTTTCTGTTGGACAAATTTGTCCAAGAATACCAAACTGATTCTGGGGGCAAGCTGTATGCCCAACCTTTGCAATAGATGCCATTGAAGTGTTTGGTAACAAGTTTTTTAGTTATGTAAAGTCATCTGCTACAGTGACCTAATTGCCATACTTCCTCCAGCATTTAAGGTTTAGTGACAACATCTTTTTGGCGGTGACACAGATCACTGTTGCAACAGGCACTTATTTCAACACGCTGGTGCACAAGTAAAGTTACTGAAGGTCATGAGAGAAGTTTAAAAGCTTCTTGTTGAAAATAAGGCTTTGTTTTTGCTTTTGTAGGTTATTTTTATCTTGATACTAAGGAGTAGTATAAAGAAACTATAGCATGAAAAAATAACTTTCTTTTTACTTTTGGTATTGCTGACTCCTAGTCTGGATCAGCCAAAATGTACCATTTCAGTGTGTGCAATTGAATTCTTTGAGTTCATTTTGACCATTTTTGTGTTTGTCGCTAAAATGTTGGGTATGGTGCACATACAACACTTCATCTGAACAAAGCCGGCTTTTCTGCATGGGAATGTTGTGATAAATGTAGCGCCGAACAATTGCGGGATTTGTTCTGCTGTCTGGAATGTTTCGTTCTCTCAATTGGTCTTCTTTTAGACTGTTTGCGTCTACGAGAGCTTTCATGCTTAAAATTAAACTGACTATTTATAAACTGTGGAAGCATTTGGCTGATAAAAAATTACAGGAGGATGCTCATTCCATTCCCAAGCCGGGCAAGCGTGTCTGTGTGGCCTTGTCGGTAACGTGTCTGGCTCTCAACCAAGGGTCGTGGGTTCAAATCCTGCCTCAGCCTCAAATTCTTCATATTTTTCTTTTTTCAGGAAGATGAATTACTTCATTAAGGAAAATCATTTAAAACGTGCGGTGACCTTCAATTTGCATTACGTGTCATGTTTTAATCACTCTCCCTTCACGCCTGATGTCGCATTTCATGTGAGCGTTGTGGTTTGTTTGAAATTCCCGCACGAGGTCATGTGGCTGTGATGTCGTGGCCCTATCGACCGATCGGGATTTTCCCGTCCCGGCCACCAACACGGACGCCGGCTTTTCTGCGACACAACTCCTTAAAACAGTTGCTTTAATTTAAGAATTAAAAATAGGATACCAAATTGTAAGGCAATCTGTTCAGGTACCTCCAATTTAGTGGTTGAAACAGACAGGCTATTCACTCTACATTCTCAATGTTCCTTGACCACGGCATGTTCTTCGAAGCGTGAAATCAGTCTACCTCCATTGAGACCTTGACTCATTGAGGGCTTTGTTTTGTTGTCAGTGGCACACCCATTCAGTTGCGCGTTGCCGTACACTGTCATTTGCATGTCCAGGAGGCATGACATGAAATGCTTCCGTTCCACTTCCCACATCCGCCATTGGAGGTTGTTGCGCTTCACTCTGTCCTGCTTGGTCGACCGCTCATTCCTGCCTATGGATGAATCCTAGTAACTAATTGTTTCGAGTGAACTGTGAAAAATTGTGAATCTTGTTTTTCAAGAAGTACAGAGAGTTCCCGAGAAAAGAGAACTGCGTTTTTCGGCCCGGGTAAATGAACTATGCATCATGAAAAAAGCCAAACTTTGTCAAAATGGGGCGCTAGCAGATGGGATAGACTGCTCAAATTTGAAAAGGTACCATTACTTGGATCAAAATATAATATAGAAAGATGAAATTTCTTTTGTGGACGCCTGTGGGATCCCTATCGGTGAAATGTCGGCAAGAAAGAAAGCAATATTCTTTCTTGCTGAAAAAAATTTTTCATTGATGCAAGTCGCACATGTCCAGTGTCATCTCTTGTTTTGAAGGTATTGGGCCTAGGTGGACGTCGGCTCATGGAGAAATTTCATTTTCTTAACCTTTTGATTCAGGTGGTGTCACGTTCTCGCAACTTTCGCGTTCTAGTCCAACTGCTGGCATCGCACTCTTGCAGAGTTTGAACGTTCTGCAATGCATAGTTCATTTACCCTGGGCCGAAAAACTCTGTTCTCGGGAACTCTTAATATACCTTGCAGTGTTGCCACTGTGTATTGAAGCAACACTTTATGACTATAGTCAGTTGCAACTAAAGAAGGTAGAGAAAGGGCAAGGCGGGAGGGGGAAGCAGACGAAACGCTAAAGAGAGGTTTTCCCCTCTCTTCTCCAGCGTTTCATCTGCTTCCTCCTCCCCGGCCCATCTTACCCTCACCCTACCTTCCCGAGTTGCAACAGACTATAGATGCGACATACTTGTCGTGTCACCCAAAAAGTAGTATATCAAGATTCAATGCTGTGTCTCTGATAACTGGCTAAATTGCTTGGTTGAATACCTGGAACCTCTATCTTAAACCAGAGTCCAGGTCCTTTCGTCTTTTGTAGGAGAGAGAAGTCTGGTCATTTCGAGGGTGTTTAAAAAATTGTTCGCACTCTGACTGTAGAATTTTTTTTTATTCAAAAACCTTTCCAGACCTAAGCTTGTCGTGGATTATTGCAAACGCAAAGCCTTGACTGGCTTGCAAATGATTTGTGAAATCGTCCACTGTCGCTCGTCCATTCGACAGAATTGGTGCATGCTCGGTGGCGTCACCAGTTGTGAACGCAGACGGGGAGTCTGGCTCCTTCTTTACAGTCGACGCTCGTGCATTCTTTGAACTTTCGTGTCCATTAAAACAGACTTCCTTCATATTGTGCACAGTCTTTGCAATAAATATTGGCACCAAACCCATCCTTGAACAAAAAAAGAAACAAAATGGCTCCTCCATTTGTGCAATTCCAAGTGAGGCGGCCATTGTTCCCCAGATCTGTCGGGACTGAACTGGCTTAACACGTTCAAACCTGCACAGCGGTGACTGAACAAAAGGCGACCCCGTACAAAAAGTGCCGTACAGACTGTGCGGCCAATTTTTAAGGTGCCCGAGGTGCAGATAATTACTTCAATTGCCCCCGTACGTCGTCTCCTGATTCATGTTTTTGTCGGAAAAACCATAGTAGGAAGAGAGGTTTTATTGATTATATCCTTGTACTTTACCTAGAAATTATAATTAGGCTGAAGTAGTTTCCTAGACTTCAATCAATGTACTTTTCAACTGCAGATGGAGTAATAAGGCAGGAAAGCTTGTTCAAGGCACATACCACAACCAGTAACCAGAGAGGTAAAAAAAAACAATGGGACGAGTTGTATGTGTCCCCCTCCCCCTTTTGTTTCCTCCTCTATTCTCCCATTTTAATGTCTGTGCTCTTTACACTTTCCATCAAAGTGCAAAATTTTCCAGTTAGGTCGTCTTTTACTCCTTTTTACGTCCGTTTCACCCAATGCTGCATTGGAAGCCGGTAGCAATATGACAGTCTAAGCAGTCTTTCTGTTTTCTTTACTTAATCTATTTTTGCAGAGACTGTCACCAAAACGGAACGGAGCGACACGACGATTGCGACGACAGTGCCCAGCGGACCAGCGAGAATGTGTTGCCTGACGACACCCTGAAATTCCTTTCGGAAGAATATTCCAAGCAGAGGGGACGCCATGGAAGGGGACCAGGAGCAGACGTTTTCCAGCGTCGAGGATGAGCTCCGCTACTACAAAGACCTGGCCGAGAAGTACAAAGCAAAGTGAGTAACCTGCTCCTCTCGTGCACCCACGATATGGCGTCTGAGACGCGTCTACGGCCGACACGTCTGGCATGCCCCATTGTACACGCACGACGAAGGTGATCCCGAGGTGGCAACGAGCGTTCTCACTGAAACCGGAATGTCGCGCTGTCAGACGTCGCAATCCTGGCGGTCAGTGCTGAAAGTCCCGGTAAAAAGCAAGAGCGAGCGTTGTCGTCACCACGATGTCCAGACTGCTGATTGCCGAGGCTTTCCTGGACTCTCCAGCTGGAGAGTGATCAGTGGCAGAATGAGCGTCTGCCACATTCGCTGCTGCGACACCGCCAGGATGCTCGTATGGCATCGTCTAGCGGGGATTGAGGGAGCACTTCTTTTGCATGCCATAAGCGCGGCAGTTAGAGGCGCATTCCAGACAGCGTACCCACGCTGCCTGCTTAGCAATCGAGTGCTGTGTTAAGCCTTTTCTTTTCTCTCCTGTAGAAGGGAGGTGCTGAACTTTCCAGATAAGTGCCGGCATCGAACGAACATGCCACAGAACAAACATTCCTCCGGTCCAGTAATGGCATTAATGTTCTTCCTCAAGGTAATCCATCCCGCGGGATGATTCAGAGTAGAATTGAGCAGCAACATGCATAGATTCATTTATCTCTTTACTCGTCTTCCTGTTTCGCGATTGCGAACTGCCAATGGCTTGACCGACTTGACAGGTTTCAGATTGTGGTGTTCTTGAGAATCACCTACTGCAGTGGTTCTCAAATGGAGGTCCGCGAAGGCAGTCTCGGGGTCCGCGAAGCCCTGCCTCATTAGTCAAGCAAAGCAATAAAATTTGCATTTTTTTCAGATCGAGAAGAAATGCTTGAGTTTTCGGGCGAGTTTTCTTGGGTGCATTTCAGTACGAGAGATGTATTTGACACTAGTTCTTAGTTATTCATTTATTAAATCATAATTATATTTAACCTACACAATTCCTCTCCTCTCACCACGCACGGGGTCCTCCATTATCTCGGCCGATCCAAATAAGGTCCGCGAAACCTCGATGGTTGAGAACTACTGACCTACTGCATGTCTATATTATTGTGGGTGGCTAAAATGCACTTGTGGATTTGGATTGACCTGGATTGGATCGCCTTTCTGCACACATTACTCGGACATGGGTAGCTAAGACGGCGTTTATGAATTGGATTGACCTGGATTTGTTTCCTTTCTGTGCTCGTTGCTTGCACCTGGGTGGCCGAGATGCCGCTTGTGGATAGGATTGATCTAGATTGGATTTCTTTTTATTTTCCGTAGACTTCAGGAGACCCAAGTGGAGCTGGAGGAATTCCAGGCGAGCAGCCGAGACTATGAGGTGGAGCTCGAGACGCAGCTGAAGCAGTACGAGACCTCGGACCGAGAGTTGCGATCTCTGCTGGGGCGGGTGCAGTCGGAGAATGATTCCCTTCAGGTACGCTCACAACTGCGGGTCCCCATTTTTGAATTCATTTGCTCTCCATTGCTTCGTCGCCAAATTGGAAGCCCGTCGGATCAATTCGCATTGCTAGAGTCCGTCCACGACGAACTCTCGATGCCCTTAACGTTGCACGGTCCAGCTGCTTGGAAAACTCGTTTCCATCGCATTGCCACATCTGTGTTTTGCTTCTTGTTTTTGTTTGTCAAACTTTAGGATGTTCTTTTGGGGGAAATGAATTTTTTACTCGTCAGTTTGGGGTGTTGAAAAGAGAAATCGGCGTTTATCGAAGGCTTAGGTTGAAGAAAACTGCGCGGGAACTTTTGGGAGGAAATGCACTAAACCGGAATACCTGGAAAGCGTTCCGGTACAGATGAAAGAAGGTAACGGTACAATGGGCGAAGCAGCTTCACAGAGGGTTTGGTGGGGGCTGAGTTTCGGACCGATAACTGGACAATGAGCAACATTTCGAAAAGGAGAAACGGCTTCGCGGACTGTTCGGAGGAGGCTGCATTCCGGAACGCCACTCCTGGATTTGCTGTCCGAAAGAGGCTATGCTGTGCTCGCCTTGTCAGCGACCATAGTCTGTGGCTAAAGTGCTCTCCTAGGTGGTGCAGTTCCTTTTTGCCAAACTATGCGTTTTTTTTTATCTGGGAATTCAAGGTCTCGAAGAGCCCAAAGAAGTTATGGTAGAGCTCAGCTTGACTTTCTTTGGCCATAGCTTGGACATCTTTGGAGCTAGTTCACCAAACAAGTGCCGACGTTGCGCTTAACTGCTCGTACCTTGGCCGTCGTCTGGCATCTTTGGGGCCTAAATCGCGAAACGAGGGCCAGGGTTGGGCTTCCGTACCAGTCGTTCGGTTTTTGCGTGGCAATTTAGGGCCTCGATTGCCAGCAGAGTGCCTTATTTTTGGGCTTGAGATTGCCAGCAGAGTGCCATATTTTTGGGCTTCAGTGCCGGCTTCTTCGGTCCGTACGTGACGCCTCTGGATCGGGTCCGGCACTTTGGCAGTCATGTGGCGAGCCAGAGAAGCGCCTTAGAAGCTCCGCGGAAAATAGCTCTGGTAACGATAACCAACACCCCGGAACAAAGCGGTATTAGACGCGAGTTATAACGCCCCTAGGACTGCCAGGCTTGTGTCGAGCTAGGCGTTTTTCTGGCCCGCCACGTGAGCTTCTGGCCTGGGTGGGAGCATACGCCCGACCGCGTCTTCTCGACTGGCAGGAGAGGCTGAGCCAGGTGCAGCGGGAGAGCACGCGGCAGGTCTCGGACTTGCAGAACCAGCTGGCGGACGTCACTGCGTCCCGGGAGGAGATGCACCGGTACATCCGGGAGTTGGAGCAGTCCAACGATGATCTGGAGCGAGCCAAGAGGTGAGACCACCGCCCATTTATATTTCATTGTTTATTTTCCGGCCCTTGGGATGGCGACATGTTCACAATCCGGCCCCTTAGCTGGCAAGTTTGGAGACCCCCGATCTGCAAACTCTATCGTGTCTGTCAAGCCTCTCGTAATCCTCCATTACCCGAAAGGCTACAATACCTCCTTTCTACTTAGGTATTAGTGCACCCTTATCACCAACACAAGGTGGGCGTACCATCGTGTAAAAGTGCAGCTTTTCACAGTTCATTCATTCCCCGAACTTCCTTACAAGGAACTATCCTTTAGCGTCTGTGGTAACTTTATCCGATGATGCTGCCTTTAAAACTGTCTTAGCAATGTCACTATTTTAGTATTTTATAATGGGTCAATTATTTGCATTCCTAAAATTTGTTGTCGTTTTTTGTTTCTGTTCATATGCTTCCGTAAGTTCGATTAATAAAGAGGCGGGAGGTCCCCATGTCTTAAGTTTGTGAATGGTTAAATAAGCCAGAGTTGCTACAATTAACGGACGAGCTAATTGCAGGTTTGCACCCTACCACTGGAGATATTGTTTTCGTGTACGCGTGCATGTTCTTCAGCATTTGGGAACTGCCAGTGTCTCATCTACTTCTTTGCCGCTTCCATTTTTCCCAGGACCACTGTAGCATCGCTGGAAGAGTTTGAATCCAAGCTCAATCTGGTAAGTCAAACCTTGCTACCATTTCTTTGTTGGCTTCCTCAAGACTGGAACTGGGCTGATGCCACGTAATACATGTTGAGTCTTTTAACATTTCCACCGTTCGTACAAGATTCACCAAGAGATCTCGGTGTGAAAGGCAGTTTTAAGGAAAGGAACATTTTAGTTTTTGGAAGATAATTTTTGCAACTTGTACTTCAATTTCTTCATTCCTCTAGGGTGTAGGATTTGATTTTTTGCCCTCCGGTGTCGTTGTCGATGGTGTCATGATAAGTTCTTGCAAACCGCGAGGCAGTTTCGTGCAGCCCCCGACAAACGCCAGAAAAGTCCCCCTCCTTCCTGCCGCCTACTCACCTTTTTAACGACCGCACAGCAGTTTACACATCAAACGAATGGTGGAGTTTGTTGAACAGTGTATGGGGGAAGAACCAAGAAATCCCAGACTGCCCACTATCGCACGAGAGAGGACAATTTGAAATAAGACGGCTCGCTCCCTCTCCCCTCCGCAACTAGCCGTCCGGCCGCCTCTGTGTAGGCTGCAAAAAGGTTGCCGACCCCTATCTAGACAGTGGTTTTGTAAAGGAACTTCCCTGAGTGACAAAAAACCAGAAGCAGAAACAATCCCCGACCGACCACGATTACAGAAACTTCACTCGCAATTGCTCACACTTCTTAAATGAAGGTGCGACGGGCATTGCTCAGTTCTAACGTGGTTACGTCGAAAGACTGGACATTGTTCTCTGTCTCTCCTTACGTCTGGCTGGGGTGGACGGTTGGAGCATTTGGAGCCCATCCAAGGCCGTGGGAGTGTTACGCAACCTCAAAGAGGGTCGGACGCGTTTGTGCCCCAAACGAGCACTCTCCATTGCGCCGGTAGTTCTTACGATGCTTGAATCGCGTCAGACTGGCGCGTTTACCGTGTCCGAACAAGTGCCCCTCGCCCGATTTTCGCACGACGACCGCAGTCTTGGCGGTCGCACGTCCCTGTAGTTTTGACGACGGTTCTTTGGCTCTCTAAGAAACTAGGAAAAAGAAAAAAGCCAGAAATGGCTCGTTTGAGTTGATGGTGTCGTGTTATTAACGTGTTGTCACTTTCTGTAGGCGATCGAACGAAACGCCTTCTTGGAGAACGAGCTCGACGAGAAGGAAGCCCTCGGTTTTATGGTTCAGAGGCTCAAGGACGAGACGCGAGGTGAGCCGCTTTTTTTCTCCGAGTATCCGGGGAAGAAGGGCGGGAATTGCCAGGGAAATGTTGGGGGAATTCGGGAAAAACTGGGGCAATTCTCCCCAGCAATTCCGGTGTTGCTGGCGAGCCTTTATCCCCAAAGTTGAAGTCGTTGTCCTTCCGTGTCAGTGGAGGTGGGTCCGGTTCCGGTTGTCTGGAACTTGGTTTCAGACTTAGTTTGGGACTCAGAGGGGCCGAGATGGTTGTCCGATTTGGGAGTTGTAATGTTGCAAGTTATTGGAGAAAAATGGCAAGATGGCTGGTCATCATGAGGAAAGACCCGGGCATTGTTGGGAAATTTGTAGTGAACCATGAATTGCCATGGAAATTCGGGGAAACTGTTCAGACTATGTTACAGAAATTTTTATAGAATTGCATTCACCAAGGGATGTTTTGTGCGGTGATGCTATTTTAAGTCCGATTTAATTATGTTACATTGGGTAAAAAAAACGTTTGCAATCAAGTTGCACAAAATGGAGGCAATATCTTTTTAAGGCTAATTAATTAAACTTGTATGGCATACAAAGCAACAAAAATACCATCACCACACAAAGCATGTCTAGATGAATGCAATTCTATAAAAATTTCTAATATATTCTGAAGAATTTTATGCTAATGACCCATAAGGAGGACCTAATTAAAATTACAAATTTATTGATAACTCAGGATCTAGTACAGCTATCTGAAAACTATTTGCCTATTTGAAATCACCACTGAGACATACATCAATATATTAAATTTAAGCACAATAAATTAATACGACGGCACGATGCCAATCTGTTCTCACGGGTAGAGGCACATTAGGCTGACCTTCATTACTTGCGCGCAGACAACGCCTTCCCAGACTACGCTCATCACTTGAAAAACGTTGGTTGTAAAGTATGCACTTGTGTTCTGCAATCTTTTTTTTTTTTTGGGGGGTATTTTTGACTGGCGGGATTTCTCGTGTGCTTGCAGACCTGAAGCAGGAGCTGATGATTCAGCAGTCTGTGCACAAGGAAGAGCAGACGCCGTTCCCCGACAACGGTACCAGCGGGCTGGCCAAGTTCGAAGCCGCTTACAAAGCCAGGAAGGAGGCCCAAGCTGCAGCGGCTGCCGGTGTCGCCGGCGCCAACGCCGTCCCCTGCACGCCTGCGAGAAGCGGCAGCGGTGCGACGGATTCTAACCGCATCGCCACGGAAAACAGCGGCAGCTCGTCCTCAAAACGTGCGTTGCGGTCTCCGCGCATTTCCTTGGCTTTGCTTGACTCGTCTTGCGAGCTAGATAGATTTCTTGGCTTTGCTCGGCTTGTGTCTTGCGACATTTGGTGCGGGCCTGGCAAACTTTCCATAGAAACGGCATAATATTGGGACTATACACGAACTCGATTGTGTTAAGTCACGCCGCAATGGTGGCACTTCGGGTGCACTTCCAGTCTGGCGCGTGGGCAAAAGTTGCCGTGCGGGTCGTGCATTGCTGTGTTGCTTTGGAAGAAACCGGACTACAACCTGTCTTCTCGTCAAAACGCGGCAACTGGGGCTGCATTAAAAGAGCTAGGATAGGTGTCAAGATCGGTTGTCACGATCGGTTTTCACGATTTTTCTGCCTGTCCGGTTTGTTCTAGACCGGGGATAGGTCCCGTGTAAAGCTGAAACCAGACGCCGTCGAACCTCGATGGCTTGTGCGGGAAGCACTTTGGGTCGAATTCACTGAGATTTGTGGTTGTCAGATTTATTTCTTTTGTTCCAACATGAACTCGGGATAATCATCAAGCAGTGCCTCTTCATGTTCTAGCTGTTGTCTGCTTTTTCAAACTGCCTGTTTGTTCAAACGCTATCTGTATGGCGACACTCTGTCGACCTACCACTCCTGATGAGGTCGCTTGATTATCGTGGCTGCCGCATGCCTCTGTGCTGCCTGTCACCGGCATGCATGCATCGAGCTTCACCACCTTGCATCAGATTAGAAGCGGCTGACACGGTTGAGCGCCGGGGTGGTGCGATAGGCTCAGTACTATTCGTTTTTTGACTTTGGTAGCTTCATTAAACTTGGGGGGAAGGCATTTTACATCAATTATATTTACAGGCTACATAAGCTACCAGGCGTAAAAGTGTAAGAGAAAACGGGCTTTATCCAAACTGAACTGTTGCTCCAAGATTCATTTTTTGAGTACCCATTGTAAATAAAGCTTACTCAGATAAGAACTTAGTCTAAAAATAAGACTCTGTGTTCCTTTTGTGCCCTACCTAATTTTTATTACAAGAGGTAATAAGTAATCGTCCAGTATCAAAGAGCAATGCGATATCATCATAGATCAACTTGTTTAGCGATACAATATCTTTTTCATTTTTGAGTGATGTGCCAACAGGTGTTGGCGTCTGCTCCTTAGAGTGTCGGTGGCTGCCCCAAACCAGTACTTTGCCTGCTACAGAACTTGCTACAAAATGTCAAATGCTGCTTCCATCACTATAGGTCACGAATGCCCGGGGGATACTTCTAAGCGTTGTTTACTGGAGGTAAAAAAGTTGTTGCGTCGCTCCTCTAAGTTTCTGGTGCTTTGGGCGCAGTGTCGAGCAACGGAGCTGCGGGGACGGGCGTCCCCGGCTGCCAGACCCCGCTGACCCCTTCGGCGCGCGTCTCCGCCCTCAACATTGTCGGGGACCTCCTCCGCAAAGTGGGCGTGAGTACTCACTGCCTGTGCCGCCGCGTTCGCTCGAGCCTTGCCGTTGACGTCAACGCATTGGTCAGCTCGGAGGATCCCGCTAGGCCGCGTTGCGACTCCTCCCCGGCCTCGTTCACTTGCGTCGGCCTCCTAGTGTAGGGAATCCCTAAATCTCCCTAGTTCCCTATTAACTTTTTATTTGTTTTGACCTGTTAGGTGTGCAGATCTGTTCTTGTTAATTTATTTGATCTCAGTTCAGTCTCCATTATTTATGGCAGGACTGCTTTGTTGCGCCTCTTTCAGCTTGTGTAGGAAATTCCTGAATGTCCCCATTTCCCTATTAACTTTTTATTTGTTTTGGCCTGTTGGGTGTAATATTTGACCTCAGTTCAGTCTCGGTTTTAAATGTCTGGTATTATTTATGGCAGGACTGCTCTGTTGTGCCTCTTTTTACTAGATCTTTGTAGTTCCCTATTAATTTATTTGTTTGGCCTTTTAGGTGTGCACGTTTGTTTGTATAGTTTATTTATTTGACCTGGGTTCAGTCTCCGTTTTAAGTGTGGTATTATTTATGACAGGACCGCTTTGTTGTGTCGCTTTCAACTTGTGTAGGGAATCCATAGATCTCGGAACTCCCTAGTCACTTTTTATTGGTTGGCTTGTTAGGCATGCAGATCAGTTTCTGTGGACTATTTGTTGGATGTCAGTTAGTTTAAGTTTTAAATGTCTGGTGTTATTTAATAAAGTTTTAAGGACTGCTTTGTTTGTTGCATTTATCGATGCATATTCACATTGTTATGGGAAAGTTATGATCTTGTTGAGGTTCTAATCTTGTTCCTGTTTTTTTTTTTTGTATAGTTTTAGAATTTTAGAAATGGAGTCCTAGTTTTTGAGTGGTAGATAGCCAGTTTGAGCAAGATTTTTACTCAGAGTATTCAATAAACTTGAGACCCAACAGATTCGTGCCTCGTTTCCTAAATATATCTTGGAAGAAGGGATGTTGCATGCTTTGTCCCATTTTTATTGGGGAAGAAGGTCAGATGGTGATTGTAAATACGAGTTTTCTAGGATACTTGGGGTGCATAGATTCAGTTTGCATGATCTTTGATACTGCTTTAATGACAGATATTACAAAAAACGAATTTTTTTTTATTTCTGGTGAAGTTATTCAGTATGCTAACGGTTTATCTGAATGCATATTTATTTTATAGTTGATCTTCGTTATCCTTTAGTTTTCAGTTTTAGTTTTGCCGGTCAGTTTCTTTAAGGGAGATGCTGATCTTGAAGAGTGAAAATTGAAAAAGATAATTTAAAACAACACAAACTACTCAGTTCCTTATTTTTCGGGAAGGGGTTCCTTATTTTCGTCGCAACGCAAACCTTTCTTCCGCAGTTAGACGTCTCCCCTCGATGGTTTGGTTAAATCTTTCCACTGAGCATTCGACAAAGACTTGTTTGAGGTATTGCTCCGAGCTGCCTTCGAGTTACACTAGCTCTCGATTTGTTTGGAATCCCGCCAGCCATTTAGGACACTTATTTTTTCTAATTTACTTTGTGTAAAGGACCCACGACGGAACATGGGAGTCCCATTGTAACCATGTGACGCAGCAGGCAGTAGCCTGTTTTAACTCCGAGGCCGCCCAAGACGTTTACGTCAACTCCAAGGCTCTCGACGTGCTCTTCGCAAGGCTGCTTTTGGGGCATGGGCTTCTGCGCGTGCATGGTCTGCTTTTGCATCGTGGTTGCCGGGTCGTGTTTTGCTTCTTGCCGTGCACTTGTGGTTGCCGATGCCAATTTTGTTAAGTCTTTTACTGGAAACTCCCGGCGTCGTGCGTTTGGGCGAGACGATGGGTCGGTAGTCGCGTAGGCTTCTAGCATCGGTTCTCTTTCCGTTTGTGGCTGTGTTGTGCCGGTTGCGATTTGTTTTCGTAGTTGTTCGTTGCATTTATTCGAGCTGACGGTCGCGATATGTGCCGAGGTTTTTTCGCCAAGATCGGATTGTACCTGCTGCATTTTTGTAAGGCTGTTTTTTTTTTTTTGTGTGGTCTTTGAGAGTCGGTAATGGTTCTCTGAAATTCGAATCTGCGACAGTAAAACAAATTTCATAATTCAAAGTTTCTAAACTGTGCGAGACCTCCTGCTCAAAAAAACAATCTTGGTGTGGAGATTTCCGACAGTGTTCCACCCAGTCTTCTATGGAATTGAGCCCCTCATTTCGTTTTTATTGCAAAAGACATTTGTACATGGTGCAAGTTTTATGTTAATTTTTGGTTAGCATATAAAAAAATTTTCATAGTCCTAAAAGGTTCAGTAAAGTTCTTTTTGTTTTACATTTGGCTGAAAACTCAAATATTTTCCTGGTTTTCCTAGTTTCTTTGTATTTAATCACATAAGAGACACTTTGCTAAAAATCCCCCAAGTGCCCTGGCTTGCACTAGAGGAATCATGGAAATGGTGTCACTTCAATTTCCTAGTGATCTGCAATTTCGACCAATTCGATGCTCAGTTTTGAGTGCAAGTGTCGTGTAGATTGCAGAGACCTGTCGTATCACTTTTAAAATTTCTCGTTAATCTCTGAGTTTTTCACACCGTGCGTGCAACTTTACACTGGCCGAGCTGCAGAAATCTCTTACAATATTATCATTCTTGCAATTGTTGTTTTAGCAGGAATTGCTTGAAAAGCCGAGAATTCTCAACAACCAAAACCAGGATTTAGCTCCCAGTCGGCGAGGCTGTTTATAGCATTTTCAGCGTTTCTAAAGTTCATAGCAGCATCTAGGAAGCTGAACAAGGATTAAGTTATTTCTGCAGCTCAGCCAGGTTGAAGGGTGGATTGCATGCACAGCATCAAAAACGCCGGGATTGGCGAAAAATTTTAAAAATTATACAACGGGTCTTGCAATCTACACGACAGTTATTCAGGATGACTCCAGATTTTGACGGCGCCATGACAGAAAGGCACAGTATATCTTTGTTTTTTTAGTAGTAGCAACATGCTTGTTCGGGTTCCATATTTATTTTTGCAAGAGGATTCTCTAGTCAGCATACAGCCGTTGTCATGGTTAACCGGATGCTGATCTCAAATCGGAATGAAAGGAGTATTTTATCTTCGTTCAAGGTGTCTCGTTGTAGCTTTTCTACTGCGTTTCGTACTTGCCTCAGCATTATTTGTGGCGTTCAAAAGCTTCTTGTCAAAGTTCATCGCAGCTTACTGTGGCTTGTTTCCGTAGGGTGCGATATCTGTGTGAAAGTGTAATGACGTAAAATAGATGTGCGGCAGTTTGCCCGGTTTTTTCTAATCTAAGTTGTCATTACTTTATTTTTTGACTCATTGACATTATCTTGTACTTAGATAATTAGTGGGGAGGGACACTTTGCTATAGTAAAAGTGCTGAATGCTTTTCTACTCCTCGAGATGGCGGCACCTGAACGATGCATTTCTTTTTGCATTGTCTCATTAAACTTTTTAGTTTCCTCTCCTGAAAAGATTGTTTTTAAGTTGTGTGTATTCCGAGGACCGGCTAAAGCTTTCTGCATCCGCATTTGGCAATGCCTGCAAACATATTTTCTATAGAAAAAGATTCTATCGTCGTTTACTTATTGCTTCCTTTTCTTTTTTCTCCCCTCTCCTATCCTTTTTCTTCCCCCATACTAACGGCTTAACTATGATGGTGTACAATCATTACATTAATGTACTGCACTACTTCCCACTGGAAACCGGTACCACTAACTACTGCTCCCATTAATCCCGGTGCATGAAACATCATGGCAAAACCACCCATATCCAAACGCGATCGATCGCTTCCCTAATCGTTGCGTTGTTCATTGTACGCCGAATATTTCTGCTGCGTTGCGCAAATCCGTTACCGTCTTCCAAATGCTTGTATGAAACAACCAATGCAATTGCCACTTATCGTTATTCCTAATCTGGTCGCCCCATGATAAACACCAATTTTGCTTGTCTGATGCTCGTAAAATGACCTTCACCATTTTGTCTAATCGTGGGATGAACTTCGCTTCTCGTTTGAAATGCAAACTGTTGGGCCGAAACGCTACGACGACCAAACCTTCGTTCGAACTGACTAACGATTTATGGGCTTGAAAAACTACTCGCTGCTTAACGATATTGAACGATTGATGGCTCAGTTCCACATCGTGGTGCTCAGAGTTCGTCTCGACCAGAACGGAGAACCGATCGTCGAGCACAGAGTTCGGTCGAGGCCAAGCTACCTGGCCCAGTTTAGCGTTGCCTAGCACCGTCGCAATATCCGGATGATTTTGCGGTGCAACCCACTTACTGTAAACATCTCCACTTATAAGAAACTTTCGATACAAGAAACTTGCGTTTACAGTAGGTTTACCCGACGTTAACATTGGTTCACTTAAAACGGACTCCGAATGTAGCACTACATTCATTAGTTATAGGACATGACTCATGTCATTAAATTCATTGTTCGCTATAAGTAGGGTTCGGTGTTTTCGGATACATCCGAAAAACGCCCGCCAGTAAAATTTTCCTCAATCTGGATTTGTCCGATAAATTCCCAATTTCGATAAACCAATGCCCCTCTTCACCACACACATACATACACACTCGCACCGAAAAAAAATTGTCTTTTACAATCAAGTTTAGGCAGTTCACAGGGTCAATGATCTTAAGAAAATGTCGCCCCTGTTTTGTCTCGAATCTCCGACCATTGACGAAAGGAATCTTGCCGCTTATCTCGTCAAGGTTCGTCGGGACAGCGGGTCCTTTGGGTCAAGACAAAAAGCCACCGTCGAGGTTTCCAGTTTGGCCCATATTTCTTCAGCTGGATTTGGCATTGGCGTCAATGGCATCGGCAATACTCGTCTGTCCCGCGACAAAAGTTGCAAACGGCTGTTACTTCGACAAACATTGAAACCTTTAAAATCGATGAAACTTTGGGAGGCGTTCGCTGGGAAGCTCAAGGCTGGTTCACGTTGTTGCAACAGACTATGACAGGTCCTGGCAAAACCAGTTTTGAGCCTCTCGTGAC